AGGCATGAGCCACCAGTGCCTGGCTGGAAGAACTCTTTCACAGTTTCATGCATGACCCAGTGTCATTTTTTAAAAAAAAGGTTGTTACATACATTATGAAATCAAAATTGTGCATACCAGAATGCCACACACCAAAAACAGAAAGCAAATAATAAAGTAGAAAACATTACAACTACTAGTATGGACAAAGTGTTCATATCCTTAATATACAAATAATTAGGTGTTAATACAAAATGATAAACAGCTCAGAAGAGGAGGGGAGAGCAAGGTAGGAGGCAAGTCACAGAATATATACACGAATCTCTCAACACTAAATGAGGCTCAGCCTCTAGTAATAAAAGCACAAATCAAGACTATATTGGATAATGAAGGAGGTGATACTGGTCTAGATGCGTTGTACTTATAAACTGACATGTTGAAAGATAACCCCTTTGTACAACTACTTAAAGATAATCAAAATACAATTTTAAAGGAGTTCATTAGAATCACACATGCAAGTATTCATAGACGTTGTCTATGAATGAGCAGGAATGAGCAGACCTCTTTGTCTAAGGATGTGGCCAGCTCCATCCACTTGCACATAATAGTTCTACTTCTAGCCAGGTATCCTGTGGATTAACTTGCATGTTCTAGCATTGGTCTGGCTTAAGAGTATTTATCATGACATTGTTAAAAATAAAGAGAAATTGTGAAAAGTCTAACTTCTTATTGGTGGGCACCTAAGTCCCCAGGAAGCATATGCAGTCATCAAAAGGCATGTGATTGTATTCATAGACCACCAAGACACATAATAAGGTGTAAAAGGCAAGAGGTAATAAGTGTGCCACTGAGTTTGCAAAGCAAAGAAAAAAGAAGTAGCACCATGTTTGTAAGTTCATTGATTGTCCTGCAAGAATCCAAAGCAAACAAAGGCATTTGCTGCTTTTTAGAAAGGAAGCCACATGTCTGGAAAAAAGGTGGAAAGGGACTTGTCTGGCTTCTATGTATCGAAATGGGCAGTTGTACTACAAAACAAGTGAATGCAGAAGAGAAAAGTCTAAAAGGGGCCAAGTGAAGGTATTGTTATGCCTGAAGAGCTAAGGGTTTGACTAACTATAGACCCGCACCAAAAGAATAGTCAATGTGTTTCAGCAAAAAGTTGTCTAGACTTAGAGTAGTAATGCCAAAAATTGGTAAAAAGTAACAGTAATGTAGTTAACTATTGACTATATACAGAAGCAGTTGTTTCTGTAGTTTTTTTTAAAGGTGTAGAATACGCTATGACTGAGACAAAAGCACCTTGTTGGGGGTTAGTGAGCTGCTAGAGTGCTCACTCTTAGAGGAACAGGCTGGCCTTGGCCAGGAGCAAGTTGGAGGGTGCTCTTTGTCTTTTGAAGGCTAAGCTATAGCTGCTGTGGTGGGTAGGCACATGTGGAACTCTTGATATATTTTTATGGTGAAACAAGGACGTTGCAAGGACTTTGCCAGAGAAAGGAACTTGCAAAGAACAGAGAGCAAGTTTGTTTTCAGGCAGCACCAAGGATGGGAAGATGCCTGGTCCTGCGCTTGGTTTGCATGCAGATAGTAGCTAAGGGATTCTGTTTAGCTATTGGCTACCGGAGAGTGGCTCAGAGTAAATGAGGGCTGCACATTCCTTAGCTCTTGGAAGTACCAGCAAGAAGGAGCTGTGTTGTGTGAACATAAACAAAGGAGAAGATACTTAGAACTACAACTGGAAAGAAAAAATGTCACGGTTGGAACGGTGGGTGAGGTAGGAGCAGTGGGTTGTGGTTCTAATTCTAGGTGAATCTGAAGTATTAAGTCAACCTGAAGTATTAAGTATTATTTGCTTCCAAGCAAATAATGCTGCTCAAAGTCAATTCTGATACTTTGTGACATATATTTTTTGCCAGATTTCCTGTGTATTTTCCTAGGGATGCTGGCCACTTTTATCAGATAGCAGATACTCACCTGACTTTTCTACATTTCCACCTTTCCCCCTGGAAGAATAATGGTTTCAGGAAGCTATATTCACAAATGCTTCATGCTCTATATGAATGATGATGATGATGATGAAGTAGACAAGCAAATGACTGCTAACTGCTCCATAAACTATAAATCATCTTTTTCTTTCTTACATCTCAGCAAGGAATGTTATAACCAACTTTTAGAAGAATTAATGTCATCCTAACAAACCATATTTTACCCAAAAGAATGCAGAAAATCAGAACTGGAAGTTATTACGTACCATCTAGTCACCTTTACTTACAGATTCAGGGTGTCATTTTTGACTCCATGTCTGACTGACAGTATTGTCCTTGCATCTTGAGAGCCTAGCCCACCTGTAAAGTCAACATGTGATTTCTCACCAGTAAGGGCTATCATCACTGGCATGTTACATTTTGATTTTTTTTTTTTTTTTTGTCAGTGATAGGGCTTGAACTTTGGGCCTGGGCACTGCCCCTCAGCTCTTCAGCTCAAGCTCTACCACTTGAGCCACAGAGGGAATTCCAGTTTTCTGAGTGGTTTATTGGAGATGAGAGTCTTACAGACTTTCCTGCCTGGGCTTTGAACCGAGATTCTCAGATCTCAGCCTCCTGAGTAGCTAGGATTACAGGCCTGAGCCACCGGTGCCCAGCACATTTTGGAAATGTTTTCCCTAGATGAGTCGATGTTTTCCATTTTGTGAGTTATCTCATTCTTCACTTTCATGATCCCTCCTATCATCATCCCAATAATTAACTGAACAATGATATTTCTAAGTTCTATTTGACTTTCTTATTAAGAAGGATTTAGCCAATTAGATGCTTCCAAAAATATTCTGTGAAAAATGATCAAATGTTGATATTACCCAATAGGGATAGTATACTTAGAAGCTTATCTCCATCTGCCATTGATTCTACTAGGGAATGACATAGTAATTAATCATGAATATTGTCATGAATAAAATTAATGTAAGAACTAGAACTCTGGCACGTTAGCTTTGAGAAAGTGAAATATATTCATAGCAGAGGAAGTTGAAAATGCTTCAGATTTTCACATTTAATATTTTTACACTTAAATATATTAAACCATATTTTTCATATTGCTAGTGATTTTATTCAATCTTTGTCATTTTGTGTTTAAAATAAATTACTCGTTATTCTGTAGCAAACTAAATAGATGCATGCATGTGTGTTTGTCACATTTAAGAATCACTTTATCAGGCTGGAAATGTGGGTCTGTGGTAGAGTGCTTGCCTAGCATGCATGAAGCCCTGGCTTTGATTCCTCAGAACCACATACACAGAAAAAGCTGGAAGTGGCACTGTTGCTCAAGTGGTAGAGTTAGCCATGAGCCAAAGAAGCGCAGGGACAGTGCCCAGGCCGAGTTCAAACCCCAGGACTGGCAAAGAAAAAAAAGAATCATTTTGTCATTTTACATGAAACTAGTAATTAAAATATTGATACAACTCAATATTAAAGAGTGTAGGAGAAAGCATTCTACTTTGTTACCTTTATAAAAAGCCAACAGAAGGATATACCCTTCAGACCAGCAATTATATTTCTAGGGATTTATCTGAAGGAGGTAATCCTAACTACTTAAGAGGCTGAGATCTGAGGATTATGGTAGGAAGCCATCCTGGGTAGGAATGCCTATGAGGCTCTTATCTCCAATTGACCACACACAAAAAAAAAAGCAAGAAAAAGATCAGAAGGAACAAAGTGGCCAATATACTATACAAAGTAATATGCAGCAAGGAGGGTCATGTTAACTGCTTGTAATAGTGACCATTCAAACCCAGTGTCCACATGCAGAATTTAAGAAAGTAGTTGAATTATAAATCAAAATGTTCCCATAGCATGGAATAAAAGAGAATTAAGAATTAAATATTGTATATTCTAGTATAGTATTTATTTTATCATATTTTAAGTGATAGGCATCTAGAATATACAATCTGTGTAAATAGTAAATTACTTATAGCATGATCCCACTAAGATATTTTTATGTTTCTGTGTATATATGTGTATATGTCTGTGTTTGCATATACATGAACATGTGTCTATGTGTATCTGCATGTGTGTGTCCATGTGTGTCTGTAGGTCTGCCTCTGTGCGTGCATATATCTCTGTGTGTTTGTGTGTCTGTGTGTGCAGTCAGGTGTATATCTGTGAAGGTGTTTTCATTTACATGAACATATATGTATGCATACATGTAAGTATGACTGTATCTGTACCGATGTATGTATGTGTATGAATACATGTGTGTATGTGTGTACATGCATCTGTGTGTCTGTGGCTATATTATGGCTATACATTTCCATGCATGTGTGTAGGTATATACATACACTACATATATATTAGTTTATATGGAGAAAGTTTCAGAAAGATTATGGACTGAAGCTGGGAGCTGGTGGCTTACACCTATAATCCTAGCTACTCAGGAGGCTGAGATCTGAAGATTATGGTTCAAAGCCAGCCTAGGTAGGAAAGTCTGTGAGACTCTTCTTACCTCCAATAAACCACCAGAAAACTGGAAGTGTTGTTGTAGCTCAAGTGGTAGAACTCTTGCCTTGAGCTAATGAAGAGCTGAGGGACAGTGCCCAGGCCCAGAGTTCAAGCCCCATGACTGACCAAAAAAAAAAAAAGACAATGGACTGAATGTTGAATGATTTATGGTGTGATAATAAAGGGTATGCTGTGTGAGCTACTTAAATTTTATTATTATACTCATGAATTACTTATGTTTTTATATTACATTATGAAAACCCAGAAGTTTATATTATAAGTAATCTAATGTGAAATTAAATAATCATATATGTTTACTTTTTTCTGATTGAGCATATGGCTGACTCACTGTTCTGCCAAAAAATATTAAAATAAATATTTATAATAGTAGTTTGGTTTTATTGGGTTTTTAAATTTTTCTATCTTTATGAAATTTCATTAGAAAAATGATACTGGCATAATCAAGGCTAGTATATGTCTAGTTACATTGTGAACTATTTACCAATGCATGTTATCTCTCATTTTTCTTCACAGATGGTGACATTAAAATCTATCCTAAACAACGGCTCTATACTGTGAGTTTGCCTCCTGAAGGTTATGTTCCCGGTGAGCCAGAACCCAACTGTACAAGTTCTGAGAACATTGCCAGTGCTGATGACACAGAAGGTAGAAAATCTAGTGGGAGGGAAGGCGACTGTCTTTACAGATAAATTATTATTTTCTACATTACAAATTAACATTTAAATTTATGATGAGAGGTATAGGTAAGTATATATCATATAATCCACACATGGTATACTGTTACATATTTTACAACTATTAAAATTATTATAAAATCTTCTAATAAATAATACTTAAGATAGGGGAACTTAACATTGGAATATAATAATAGCCACATTTCTTAGTGCATTAAAAGAAGTATAGAATTAAATAAATATATCAAAATATTAATAGTGGGCTGGAAAGGTAGCTCAGTGGTAAGAGTGTTTGCCTGGCATGCATGAGGCCCTGGGTTCGAATCCTCAGCAGCACATAAGCAGATAAAGCCGGAAGTGGCGCTGTTGCTCAAGTGGTAGAGTACTAGCTTTGAGCTGAAGAGCTGAGGGACAGCGCCCAGGCCCAGAGTTCAGGCCCCATG